TCATAAAGTTGAACAAGTGTTTACTTGAAAGCCTATGAAAGACAGCTCACCTTATGACGTCGAAGAAATCGACCACGACCACCGTAAGCACAACGTTAGTGACTAATGAATTAATGCCCTATAGAGGTTTATATGCGAGGGTGTAGTCCAGGAACGGCGCGAGTTCTTTTGTTACGGCGATGCATTCTCTTTCCTGTTCATTTTTGGATTCCTTGCGGAAATCCAGCATGCTTCTAGGGTCTTGCGCGCCGCCAGCTCAGCTTCTCGCGATAGAATTGAAACCTAGATGAGAAGCAAAGGTCGGGCCTAGGAATCCGCAAAAATTGGGGTATACAAACTTATGGGTCGCACTATGTAAACAAACTATCTGAAGCCAATGACATTGAAAGAAGTTAGAACTCAAAACAGTTCATTCTTCTCATAGATTTTGCTGTTTATCTTTTCAAGATATATCGATATCTTGCTACTGCATTAGCCCTTGAAATCAAGATGATATGTGTAAAACCTTCCAGATAGTTTTTGGGATTATAGGAAATCGGATCACCAGGGCGTATTCTAGATATAGCAAATCCAAGTTGAAGAATGCTACCCTCTCTGCTTGATATTATTCCACAAAATTCAATTCCAAAATTACCGTTTCGGAAGATCCATATCAAACTTTGAAGTGGGAAGAGGGACTGCAGATGTAGATTCAGATGATGAAATGTTTGGAGCACAGCCTAAATATGACTTTTGCTTCATCGCAGATTACCCTAAAAGACATTCCGAATCCTACCGCGAGGTCCTGCTAAATTATGATTCGTAGGAGGTTGTATCGAGTCGGTAAATCCAGCCTAAGCAGCCAGATTATCGTGAGTCAAAAGCTCAGTATTACAGAAAATCATACCATCCTCGTAGTTGATGGAAGTTGTGGAAAAGCAGGCGAAGGACCAATTACACAACCAGGACGTCGTGCTACTGGACTTGGGAAAAATTCTCTATGTTCTGAAGGTTGTGCAGATTGTTCTCGCTGTGTGAACGTCGTGCTCGATTGCACAGTCGACGCTGGTGACACCGATGGAACTGAGTATGGAGCTCTCCGAGTTCCCGGTAGTCCACACGTCGGTGGCATCATGGGAGGAAAGTGAGGAGGTCCACTTGTGAAGGGATGCGGATGAAAATTAGGCATTATCCCAGGAACTGGTGGCATTTGAAGAGGCTGACACATTCCTGAAGGTATTTGTACTCTTGGTTGAGGAGGAGGAGGTGATTGGAAACTATTGTTCGAGTGTTGTGTTTCAGCACTCTGCTGTGTACCTAAATTAAGGAAGTTCGCAGAACTTCAATGTCATGAGTTGATTGTTATTCAGTCTAGAACTTACTAAGAATTGGTGGCGGAGGTGGAGGGGCTACAAGAGACGACTTTAATGTCTGTGCTGTAGATGCAGGATTCTTATTTGGAAACTCCGGGGGAGGCGGCGGTGGTGGGGGCACGCTAATACCTGGATGTAATTTAACAAAATTGTGAAATCAAAAAAAA